ATACTATATATATATATATATATATAGTATAATATATATATATATATATATATATACGTATACACACACACACATATACATATAATATACATATATATATAAGTATATATACATATATATATATATATGTGCGTGTGTGTGTGTATGTATTTATGTATGTATGTAGGCGCACGCATATCAATACATACATATAAATAATTTCTGAATGTCACGTTGTTAACTAAATTGGGCTGTTTGTAAATTCTTCAGTGGTGTCTAGAGAACATCAGAAATTAGCGGATGCGATGATGTTGCTGGCCAAACCACCCACCGAGGGTCTCATGACTGCATGTTGGCGTGCGACGTGTGCAGGTTCGTGCATGTGCTGGATTGTTTTCTATGGTTGTGTGTTTTAGCATTATCAAGGTCTGTATGCCTTGTTTGCTATACTTTGTATCTTTTGCTTGGTCTTGTCAGTAAGCTATCCCCAGATGTGTATATTGTACATGCTTTTTGGGTTATTGTGTTGGGTGTTGTTCACATAGATGTATGTGTATATTCAAACTATGTCTTCTAGTATGGCATGATGGCATTTATAAATATATATATATATATATATATATGATCATATCTAATATTTAGCTGGAACTTTTTTACAATCTGTAGCGGACACAAGGGCCACCAGAGGAATCATGGTCACGTCTCAAGCGTTTGATGCTATTGGTCAGATGTCCAAGCGGAACTATCCGAGACACGTGCAAATGGTGTCTGATATCACAAAGGTAGGTTGCCGATCTAATTACACTACAACCACGTAAAATGACGTTTCTATCCCTCGGGATAAGAGGAGGAGTAGATATAGGCCTGTATACATTAGTTATTAATCTCGTACTTCGACGCAGAACCCGTTTGTCGAGTTCTATCTCATTCTCAATCTGCATTATTTGCACAGTGATGCTAGGTGCTGCAGGAGTATACTCGGTTGATTCTTTTAATACGTGAGAACCGGATGTCATAGTCCACGTGTGCTAGCTCTAGGAACTTATTCTATCTTTGAATGTGCTGCAGGAATATACCAGAATGATACCTCAGTACGAAAACATTGCAGACGCGCAAGCGCTGGCGTCCCACAAAGCCAATGATGCTATGGCCGGCCTAGCAGAGGGCAAATTAGAGGTGTGGTCGTGGATTTTATGATTTTCCAGATAGGTCGTTTTACAATTATATAGACACCTTTGGAGTTACTATGTGCCGTTAGAGGAATAGGATATGCGTTGCTATTGCTTGAAGCGAGCATGGTAAGTAACGAAAGGCATAGGGTGCAAGTGGTTTCAAGTCGATAAACCTCCAGATATCCAAATTTTTAGCTATTGAATGCACAGCGAAACCGATTCACGGATACAGGCAGTCTTCTCTGCTCTATATGGTCCCAAGAGGGGTTGTATTGTTGTGATACCACGGTACTTGCAGTTCATATAGGCGCAGAATATAGGTGTGACCATTCAATAACCTGTCGACACCATTGGATTTGCCTCGTTACTGCCAATGCTACAGTAGACATCACATGAGTATCAGCGTACGATATACAAGATCCTCTGTCAAGCCATGTACCCAACTTTGGTACGTGTGAAAATTGATTCACACGTTTTGTAACCCTATGCATTTAAAGAACGACAGGCCAATCCCCTCTCACACTTGTACATCACATATTCGTGAGTATATGCGCATACATATATCTGTATTTGCTTTAAGGTATCATGACTAGGCTCACCCTGGGCGCTTACACTTCTATTATTTGATAGGTGTCATACAGCAACGCCGTTCAGGACAGATATGAGGTCATATCGAACATAGCACTTGCTGAGGCGAACAACTTTCATGCTTATAAGGAAAAAGACTTCAAAGCGATGATGGAGCGGTTTTTAGACGGACAAATCGATCATTACAAAGAGGTGCGTGTGCATCTATGTGTTGCCGATGAATTTTATCAGTGGCACTGTGTTACTTTTGTGCGAGTCTGTCTCAAACTGTATGCATGTCCTATTTTCCTGCCTGAATGGCAGCCAGGCATCAATAGTAGTGTATTTGTGGCCTAGCGGATTTGCAGGGTCTGGGAGAGAAATTGTCTGAAGTTGTCAGTAGACTGGTTTGATAGGAATATGTGCATACCGGTGTGCGTAGGCGCGGTCGGGTGTGGACGAGCTAGTATTCTGATTATGAAATGCAGTTTTCATCTTTGGGGTGCATTTAACTATTTCATACATAGATTAGTACGGGTGTGTATATATGCAAAAGTGAGGGATGTATATGTAAACCAGCATATTGAAGGCTTACTATTCCCTTTCTTAGGTCCTCATCAACATCGAATAGTTGTGCAATTTCTTGTAGCATTGGTTGCTAGCTATAGCTGTTGAATGATATGAGATTCCCATCTTCGATCTACGCCCTTCATTTAAGGTATTAACGAAACTGGAAAAGGCTAGAGAAGCAATTGAAGAACTCTGAAGGAGCTGAACCCTGTGCCTACCGGAATTGCTAAAGGCCGTACTGTCCTTCATCCGAGGAAACCTTCGTGTTATACCACCAACACTATGTATACCTGTGTGTGTCGTGCAGATAATTACATTACGAGCTGTTACGTTATCCGTTCGAGGGGCTACGTAGGGTGTTTATCAATGATTTCTATCAGTATCCAGCATGGCAATGTCAGAGAGTGTTGCGTATCTTCCTATAGCAAAGATGTATTGCGACTCAGGCTTTCGGCGCACTTTGTTGGGCTGATTATGGAGCTGCTTACAGCCCCGCCTCAACCTCCGTATGGTCTCCTTTGCATTTCTCAAGCGACCAAATACGCACGAATCAAGATGAAACTCACAGGTCGAAGTGGGCTGACCTTCTAGAAATTATTCGAATATTAATTGATTTCTTCTTAGAAAAGATGGTCAAAATAGAATCTCATGCAACTATGCCACTTTTGAAAACGTCGGGGTTTATTGGTTTTGTAGTGGGTCTTTGTTTGTGTTTCTTTTAACTCTTTATATCTTGCTAAAAGCTATGTATGTAGAAAAAAAACACTAAAAGATTCATTGATTCTCCCTTCTCACAGAGAGAGAGAGGGGAAAGATGACCAAACATCGATGATTTGTTCGGAACGATCACTATTGCGTGCCATTGGTCCCGTAGGGATGAAAAGAATGCTATGATTGTCCTCTGTCTCGTTTTTATGTATAAGAAGGAGATCTAGTAGTCTGGTCTTATTACTGACCCTGTCAGCCTGGCCCTCCTGTATATATTACCTCTAAAGTTCATGAAAGTTAAAACACTACTATTTACCCTGATTGCTTCAACGCGATGTATTTCTCATCATCGGGTACTCTGACTCTCTACTCTCTATCTCTCTCTTCAGTAGAGAGAGTATTAAAGATTGTATTTAGAATGTGGTGTACTGTGTAGAGTGTAGACAGTAGTGAGTAGACCCCATTGGCATTTGGGCCATCTTTTGAATATATGTATATTTATAAATAGGTTAAAAGCTATCAGTGAGAACTGCAATTGGCCCCGCAGGATGGCGAATCTCCATCAGAGGCATTTTACATATATTTGGGGGCTATTTTTAATAAAAAAAACATAAACAAACATAGTGCGAGTCTGCGAGATTGCAAGGACTCCGAGGAATCGGCACTCAACATTCAACACAGCAGCAGCCTACCCGCCACTCCTGACTCGCCAGTGCCGCCACGCCTTGTATATTTTAAAAAAGGTTAAACTCGCGCATTTACCTTGTTACAAATACATATGTACATACAGCCGTATTTTAAATATTTACGCCACTCAGTCTCTCAGACTTCTGAAGTTCAGAGGCTCAGACCCCAGTGAGGCAGTGACCATTCACCATTGAGTCATTGACCACTGACCACAGTCCACAGTGAAGAACAAATAAAGATGACCAAATTTGATTGCCAATATTTGCCATGGATTCACACTGGTGAGTGGTGATTAGTGAATAGTCACTAGTCCTTCCTACTTTCTAGAGCAGATCTCGACGCGCACGTGAAATCACTTTTTATTTTATAAAAATAACAATCTGGATTCTGTGGCCTGGGCCCTGGACCCCTGGTCCGAGGATCCGGTTTAACCCTAACCCAGTGCAACAAAGTGCACAAACAAGGACGAAAAAGAAAAAGGGAAATATTCAGAGAAAAAAAAGGTTCAATTTGTAAAAAAAAATAGAAAAGAAGGCTACGAAAAAATATATAACAGCTTGAGCCTTGAGGCCTGAGGCAACAAACAAAAAATATGAATATCCAGGCTCCATATATATGGCTTTATATGTACATATTGTATGTCGATGATACACACAAGTCGGATTTAAATAAATAAAATATATAAATTCACAATGTGTATGAATATATTTATTTTACACAGCTATATGACATAAATATAAATGTATTTTAAAAATACGATAATTGCATTCATACACTTTATACATTGGTCGTACTGTAGTCGGAAGTAGGATGCGTCATGCGATAGATATAAATATATTTACCATTACCAGAAAATATTATTGGCTATCTACAGTATTGAGCTTATATTATTTTTTAAAATAGTCCGTCCCACGTCGGATAAATATTAAAATAAATTCCACCACATCGTTGGGAAACACATTTTCATGAATAGTGAATTTGTTTTGGTCCTTATTGGTCGTAACTCTGCTTCTGACTTCAATACTCTTGTGAGTTCAAAATATTGTGTAATCTGAGGCTTTTAGCTTTCCTAGCAACTTCAGCTTTCCTAGCAACTTCATATATTCTATATATAGTAATTAATATTTATTTGTTCATCTTGAAAACGTACTGGAAGTCTGGAAGCCTGGTTCTATTCGGAGACAAAATCATGCCAAAACAGTGAAAAAGTCATCCACATGCGGAGTGCAGAGTGCGACGATGTCTGTATTTAGTATTTACCGTGCTTAGCTGCCACGACTTAAAACGAAAACAATCCTATTGGCTATTTTAGTTTTTTATTTTATTTTTATTAAAAATATATATGTATCTATATTTAGAACGTATAATTTCGAACTCCGAAGACCAAACTTTTTGTATTAAAAAAAAAGAGTGGTGGGTGACTGACTGACTGGTGGACCAGTGGTTTAGAGAGTGGACTGGTGGTCCATTAATCCAGTCTATGTAGTCACTGGTGTGGTGGTCCAGGCCCTGCCCCCAGGTGGAGAGTAACGAGAGTCGAGAGTCGAGGCTCGAGCTGTCCAGCATTTTGTTGCCCTGTCGCAACTTACAACTAGCATCGCACAGAGAGAAAACCTCCTCTCTCTCTCTCTGTGCTCAGTGTGCTGGTAGAGAGAGGAAAAGAAGGCTATGAAAAACGTATTGTAAAAAAAAAACAAAAAAAACAAAGAAGTACAAATGCACATCATTTTTCACTTTATTACATAGCACTTTTATTTATTTTAGAGGACAATGCTCTTGCCGCCGTCCGTTCGCCCAAAGTCCGATGTCTGATCATCTTCAATTTTCAAACTCGCATCAACAGTGATCATAAAATAGAAAACGATACAGAAAGACGAAAGGGGGGTTTTTTTAAATTCCCCACGCCCCACGGTTACTATTAAATGGCCGCGTATGGACTATGGAGTCCTATCATCAGCCCCAAACCCCTGGCCTACTGTGGTCCTAAACTCCTAAAATCCCCAGTGAAGTCCAGTCTTACTCATGAGAAGAGAGCAAGTCTCCAATTTATGGTACACAAATAGCGAACTGGCGATGGGACCGCAGGGCGGCGTAGGGCGGTCTTTCAGAGAGAGAGTTCTCGGGAAAGTAGGGACTGGGGAGGGGAACTAGAGACATCTGGAGACTGGAGAGTGGAGACTGAGTCCCGAGTCCCGACATCCAAGTCCTGCGACAAGTCCAGAGGCTAGCCTAGTAGAGTCCTCTAACTTCTGAGACCTAACAGTCTGGGGGTGGGTTTATGAACTTGGGGCCTGGGGCTGGGGACTTGAGGCTTTAGGTACCTATGAGTCGCTGACAGTCTGTGACTCTGTGTCAGACACTCAGACTGTATTCACTTTTAAAAAAAAATAGAGAAGCAATATATATATAAAATATCTCTGGCCTTTTTTGTTTTTTTTAAAACTGTTATAATTATAATTGTTTTACTCCTGCAGTCCTGACAACGGTGACATTCCTAGAGTAGTGTCCATCACCAACCCTTGCGCCTTGCAGCAGCGTGAGTAAATGACTGAATGTGGTAAAAATTGACACTTGTAGTTGATTCATGAGTCATGGATGGTTGGTTACTTATGGCGGTGAATATATAAAAATACAGATTACTACATTTTTTTAATTTAAAATAGTTAAAAACTTGTTTTATTTTCACTGTATGTCGTATATATAGTAGTAGATGCTCCTATATGTATAATTGTTTGTAGAAGATAAAAACAACATGAATTCAATTGAATACATGTATGTGATATCAGTCGGTTCAAATTTTGTTATATTTGCAGATGTTTATTTGATAAGGAAGATAATCACTGAAATTATTTCGTCAATCGTGTATTCGCTCCATTAACTCCATTTTGTGAATGTATATTTATTTGTTCGTATTGCTCTTCGCTCTTGTTGAGTATATACACGAAATACAAATCAGTACTCAGTAATCACCGCCTCACGACTACGGGTCACAAACTTACAGCCTCACACAGTCTCACACTCACAGCAACACAGGGCACAAAGGGTCAGAGAGTCAGAGTTTTCAGTAATTTCAGAGTAGACTGTCAGACACAGTTGTCAGTCAGTCATACATGTCACAACTTTAAGTCTATTACACTCGCTGGACGTCTGAGTCGCTTTCTATAGTCACTACTACACTTTCGTTTTACGTCTACATTCGAAACTCTCGACTGTTGTACTTGTACACTCTATTACTACAGTCTGCGGCGGCCTCATCTGCACCTTTGCGCCTCTACAAGTCTACGCCGTTGATGTGAAGCAGTCTGAAGTCTGCACTGTACCACTGTTTACACTGCACTTTACAGTCTACAGTTTACACTGTCTGCAGTCCACTTACACTCTATTTTTAGAAGTATATTTTACACTACAATCTACTCTACAGTCTACACTCTACACTGCTACAGTTTACACTACAGTCTACTCTACACTCTACACTACACTTAACTACAGTTTACAATTTACACTCTACACGCTACAGTCCCACACTCTCTCTATGACTCTACAGCCTACACTGTATATACAGTGTTTACTTTAGAGAAAGTAGACTACAGTCTACACTCTACCCTCTACACTCACTTTAAGTCAGAGTGTCTACAGACAGCTATAACAAAACGGAGACACAGTGTCTGAGTCTCTGAGTCAGTCAGCAGGCCCAGGGCCTCAGCACTCAGCTGTCAAGTGACAAGTGGCAGTCTGTCAGTCACACTACTTTCGCTGTGGTAAAAACTGAAAATGCCAATGTTAGTATGTAGGGACTAGAGAGATAGACTAAATAGAGACTCGAGAGTAAATAGTAGTTGAAGATTGCAGAAAATAATAAAATTAACCCCTGGACTTTAGAGTCAGGACTCACAGCACATGGTCCTTATTTTGTTTTTGACTTTAATCTTTCTGTGCTGTCAAAAATAAAAAAGCCAATGACAATCGTGATTCGTGAATCGGGCCAAGACTCAAGAGAGGGAGAGGGGGTATGTATTGGGGGGAGCCGGCGCCCGGCGGCCCAGGGTTACTTCACACTCACAGTAGTAGAGAGACAGTAGTCGCTCACGCTGTGGTAAATGGGGTGGGGTTGACTCGCTGAAGGGGGGGGGGTGGTGTTGATGTTTGTATAATCTGTAGGAGGGACTTAGCAACAAGATGACGAGACCCCCACCAGACATCCTACTAGAGAGAGAGAGGGGACTCAGGTCTCCGGGAGTCAGGGGTGGGCTGAGAGAGTAGGGACTCGCGCCCCGGAGCGCGAGACAAATAGTTTTATAACTATTTTTTTTATTGTGTTTTTTTTTTTTAGACTAAATACATGTCGTGAAAATTATTATACGCTGCAATTTAACTCAGTGAGGACTGAGGACTGAGGACTTAGGACTTTGTGGCTGACACGGGCTGACTTCAGTCTGGCTGTGTCTCCTCACTCTCGCCTGTCTTTTTTAAAAAAACATTTTTTTTAGAGTTCAGGGCTTTAGGCAGATAAACGAAATAAATATGCTCCATGGGTCGCCGAAACCTCGGGTAAATACGGGCATTATGTTTTTTTATATCAGGAACTGTAAAACAATCAAAACTGTGATGAGAGACAAGGGAGATTGCCCATGCGGCCGTGCATTCGATCGGAGTTCCGAATGAATGTGTGCGGTCCCTGTGGTATGTAGCAGGAATATGTGACTATCTTGCGCAGCACCGTGCTAGAATTTCACGCATAAAGGAAGGAGCTCACCACCAGTCACAACTCATAAATCAATTTCACGATCAAGACTAATATTGTCGATCGCACGATATCACTTGCTGGACAATATGAAAGGGGTAAATATGTATACGATGCTCAGCTCGGCACTGCTACTCTCACATGGTATAATTGCAGCGCCAACTACCACTACCACAGGGTTAATTGCTCGGCAACCGCGTCAGACTGGCCTAAATCTTGGTTCAAAAGTGACCTCCATAGAGCTTGACAACATCGAGATCACACGAACACAACCCTTCACTGGGTTGCACGTATGGGATACGTCCGGCGGTACTGGCTATGACTTCCGCGTAGCATTCTGTGAGGTAGACTCGGAGTCCATCGTGAACGACGCGGGCAACTATGATTGGTCATGGATGGACAAGAAAATCGAGGCTATTGCAGATCTTGGGCGCCACGCCATCATTAGGATACGATGGAATGCACCCTCTGGTGTACATCTACCATCCAAGTATCCACGCGTTTTCCATGATTACAAGGGTGAAACGGTCGCTTCACCCGACTGGCAAAACACGGAATTGCGTACGTTTGTGAAAGAGTTTGTGACCAAATTTGCTGCACGATACGACACTGATCTGCGCGTTTTGTATGTGCAAGTGGGGTTCGGACACTACGGTGAATTCCACATGGCTGGTTGCGATTTCCAAGGCGACGAACAGAGTAGGGCATTCCCACCGAAAGACTTTGCGCTAGAATATCTCGATCATGCACAAGCAGTGTTCAAGAATACTCCTTTGGGGGTATCAATAGATTCAGGAAATGCTGATGCACCCGATTACGGATATCTGGCTCACGAGAATCGTAAGGACTTTGGATTATTTGACGACACATTCATGTCCAATATAGATACTCCAGCAATGAATGCAAAGGCTTGGGAGCAGTTGAATTACGAAGATAATGCGCGCCAAAATGTTATGGGAGGTGCTTTCGGCTACGACGAACCATCCATTGAAGCTAGATACTTGGATGTTTCCCGTACGGATCCCGACTCTGGAGAGCCCTATAACTTTGACACGGCCGCTCGCAGGTATTGGATCACCTACATGAGTGTATCAGGTGTGTGGGATAACCTCAATCAAGACGATATAAATCGCGACAGCGCTATGCTGGGCTACAAATTTTATGTCACGGCATACGGACTAGGAGGAGGATACACTCAGGTCATAGTACAGAATACAGGTACTGCGCCTATCTACTTCTCTACCCCCCTCAAAGTTAGTCATGGTTCCGAATTTGTGACTGTTGGTGATCTGCAAGGAATATACCCGGGAGAAGAGAAGCTGTACACACATGAGGGCGAATTAGATAAGGCAGCTACTTTCGAGGCGGGCTGTGAAAAGTGTTTCGCAGATCATCCCATCGATATCGGTATTATGATGTAAGTCGATCAAAGCGTAATCACGGCCTTCTCAAATAGGACGTGCTTCTCGATGCTACATGCCGAAACACCCTATGTACAAGCGCTCAAGGCGCTATTAATTTGTCTTCTAACTATAACCTCGACGGAACTAAGGGCTAGTTTTCGTTCTCAATCATATGTCATGTATCATCATGTCTTGCAATAACAAATAAATACAATCTGAACTAAACTCCACGATATACGATAACAAGTCTTCTACTACTACTGATAGAATTTGAATTTTAGTGAGCGTTCAACGTCCTGGTGCAGCCTTCGCAATTCTCCTTCCATTCTGGGACACTTCCATCTGCGTAGAACTCCTTCTTCCATATAGGGACTAGCTCTTTAACGGCATCGATGCCATAATGAACCTGGTAGAGAATTAAGATTGAAAAGAAAAAAAATTCAGCAGGTGCAAATTTGCACCGCGAAGGATCTATAATCCGAATCATAAGGGATGCAACTCAATCTGCAATATAAGTATGTGATGCATGGCTTACAGTAATTCAAGGTATTCGGCCTATATAAACAACGACACCATGACTTAGAGCGTCTACTGGTAGACTCTTCAATATGGGCATGTACCTTCGAACAAAAAGCATATCTACAGCGCCTTTCGATTCGCAATCCACAACACCAAAAATGATTTTACAGAATTTCAGAAACACTTTTTAAAATAATGAGTTGACAATATAACAAATGAAGTCGCCGACCTGCGTGCAAACGCAAGAGAGATATATTTCCTTATGAGATATACATCTAAGAATAATACATACAGCCTGCAAAGAATCTATCCGATGGGCGGATGACACGGCAATTATTACGCTTGTCTCCCGCACGGGCACAACACCGATACGGTGCGCTATGGCAATGTTGATCACCTATACAAGGACATAAGAAAAGGTTCCTCGTCAGTAGAGCTTTAGATACTTGTATACATTTGAAATAAAGGCAATGCATGTGTGAGAACAAGCTCTTAAGCATATACAAAAATGGCTGAATAGGCGATTTCAGCAGCCAACAACGACCGTGAGACGTACACTAAACTTCTCCCGCAATGTCGCACAGATGATCTTCATCTGCTTTTCAGCCATGGTTCCATATGCCTCATACTCTAGCCGCACAACCTCCCTGCCTGGTGGAACGATATTGTAAGTACATTACCAGTAGACCGAAATAGAACATATAGCTTGGGGGCTGTAAGGCTCATGACGGGTGGACTGCTAGGTGATAGATATGTACGGTAAAACAAAAGCACTGCACATGATGTCAATACAATACAGAACACGCGGTACAGGCGAAGTGCCACGCACGTTGAATATGTAGCATGCACAACAGGCACGACTATATTGTCTCTAGCTGGTAAAGCAATGAATTTTCTGCAAGCATTTTTTCTGTGAGCAAAACATACAATATGCAATCATTCAGTACCTTTGAAGGAATTCCGAGTCGTGCCTATGAATGTAGAGATAGCCCCAGCATCCTCCCTACCCACCATATCGGTAAGCGCTGCTAGATCCAGTACGTCACTCGTAACGGTCACATAGTCAATGCCGGCCATACTGACAATACTATTGAATCTGTAAGAATATAAAGTACTCGACCGGAAGTCGTATTTGTTTCTACCGATTCTTACTGTCTGACAGCAAGGTATTGTTCGTGATGATATCGAGATGTTCTCAACCTCCACTGATTGGGGGGATTACCGCAACAACGTCGCCGGAGCTGAGCGTCAGAGCTGTAGCGCTGCTTTTGAATTCCTCGTTCACAGCAATCGCAGCACTGTCCACCAGTGGTAGCAAACTGCGGGGCGTAAGACGGGTGATACAAACGTCAGTAATAGTCTGGGTGTACCTTGATAAGGCGGAAGCGCAATATCACTCGAAGTGATTTATATGTATATGAGCAGAACCGGTACACCATTGGTTATGTGTATTACATTGAGCGAAAGGGTTGGCTATTTAACCCCAAGGAGGAGCATATAAAACCGGGAATCCTAACATATTTTGCATATTTATATTTACATATATATATATTTATATATATATATATATATATATATATATATATATATATATATATATATA